GAGCTGCGAGCCCTGATAGTGATGTTATGAGATGAGCCGAGGCTTCGAGCAGTCGAGGGGACGCTTCCGCAAAGCGCGTGTCGAGGTGCGATTGGTTTGGGGGAGGGGCCAAAACTGATGACATCTGAGCAAGCCACTGGTTACAGTTATAACATCAGTATTAAGTAGTATTGCTTTCTGCTGAGCAGGTAGGATTGCCACTGGCCATAGCTATGAGGCATGTACTTCCACTCCTGAGGTTGTTGGTTAAAGACCCACCTTAGAGTTTGGAAAGTTCCAATAACACTTAAATATTTGGCTAATGTGACTAATTTGCACTGGTTGTAGAAATATAGATAGTTTAAAAACGCTGCAAAATTAGATTGTTAGGTTTTACCAAAAGATTGGTTGAACACATCACTTCCAACCCGATTAAAACCAAAAACTGTGGAAAAACTATTATGCTTGAATTAAATGACTAATACCTTTCATTTCACTCATCATTGCCCAATTTGCACAAACACTTTCACCGCTTCAGCTTATTTAACTGAAATGGTAGAAATAGGACATTTTACGCACAAAGGAACTTAAATGTAGTTTTGCATTCTACCAGTACTGATGATCATGTAGGTCGGCTGTGTTTTCAACCCAAATCTCCTAAAAATAACAAACATATTTTCACTTTATTCCAAGCAAACTGCATCTCAGTTCCTGATGTAATTTCTGGTCTCAGAAGAATGCTGGAACAAGACGTTGTCTCTACCCAATAAATATTTACGAGTCAAAAAGATTAAAGATGTTTCCTTTAAGATATTAAATATAAAAACATTGATACCACTCGTACTTTCTGCAACATTTACTCAGAGTCTGTTCCTGCGAGTACAGGGGGCAGATATGGCAAGCTATTTGTTACTTTATTCTGGACAATATTTATGACAACTTTAAACGTTATGTTAAGGATGTTTACATTATAAAAAAAGAACTTTCACACCAGTTCTTATGTAATCTTTTTCTTCTGTTGATTAAGTTTATCCACAAATGTAAAACTATTATGATTAAACCCTCATGTGTCTCTTTTTTAAGGGAAGCAACAACTTATGCTTCTACATTGTCCTCCATTAAAAAAAAAAAAAAAAAACTATGAAAAATTCTTTATGCTCTAAACTCTAAGTATTTATGTATTCTCTTCACATGCTGCCATTTGTAGCTTTGCTTTATTACCATGTTCAGTGGCGGTTCTACACCAAATGTTGCAGGGGGCCAGAAGGGGGCCAGCTTTTTTTCATGGGGGCCCATAAAAGCATTAAATAAAAAACAGGGCAAGAGATTCAAATATATTAAGAGAGCTGCACGATGTGAAAGTTCTACTCAATTAGGTTTAATTAAAATTCTATATCTTATTAGGTCAATATATATTCAGAATTTAGGAATTTTACATAATTTTTACTTAATTTAAATTAGTAGGGAAGTGGCTGTTCCAACCGTTGCATTTCTGAATTCTCCCGAGTGGTGCCAGACTTTACACAGGTGCATAAAGTGAATTCCATTGGGACCAAGTAGCACTAAATTGGTGACTCAGAAACGACGCTGTCAAGGAACGCTATGGACAGAGGAAACATTCAGGAGGAGGAGAGTTTAGTGTCGGAGGTCGTGGATGAGTCTCCTCCGTCATCCATTTTTTATTTAGAGGAGGAAAGCGGGGACGAAGATGTTGTGGAAGAGGACGCCAGGGCGGCAGAAGCTTGGTTTGGTGTAGAAGGCTTCCAGCCGTACATGTTTGAGCCCTTGCCTCGCAACGCTGCCAGTTCTGTTAGCTCTACGCCTGCTGAAGACACAGACGTCCATCCCGGTGAACACTGGGACGCAACTCAATGGGAAAGGAAAGGATTCTAATTCATACAGTTCTAAATCGATTAATTGCGTTTCGATCTGTTTTACAGCAATGAAAGTGGTTCAACTGTGTTTCAAAATACTCATGTATTTTATTTTTTCCTGTCACATTAAACACAAAATTCAAACTTGTAAATTAGACAGTTTAAACTTGAGCTGTGAACAAAATTGTCTCATAAGTGCAAACTTGTTTGTGAAAAGTGAAAAAGTGAAGCCTCCCTCGAGCGAGCAGACGTGACACAGCAGACATGCATGAGCTGCATTATCTCCACTGTACAAACCATGTGTGCAGGGGAGTCAGTAACGACTACAGGGTGTTTGCTGGTCAGCCTCCATTTGTTAATGTCTTCATTCAACCTTTTGGCTATAATTGCAGCTGTCTGGCTTGAAGTCATCTTGATTGCATCTTTCCTGCTCATTTGAATGTGAACGTCACGCATCTTAAAACTAATTGATCTCATTCCCTAGACATCGATTTTGCAAAAACGTAAAGGAATCAATTCAATTGATTTTTTTTACCCAGCCATAGAAATAATTCTGATTACTTATTTCAACCGTTGCGTATATTAGCTGCAACATACGAATCAAGATGCTATGACCATAAACATTTGATAAACAGATGACCGTTGATATATGATTGGCTGAATTTAGGTGTTCAGGCTGACGTAGAACCAACTGGCCTGCAGAAGATAACGAAATAAAACACAGATTTTAAGACAGGATTTTTTATTTATTTTTTTATAGAAATTATTTATCTTTTGGGACAATATGGTCTAATAAATAATACATTTATATACATGTTTGAGCCAGAATTATTTGATATTTAAATATAAATAAACTTTTAATTAAAATTACCATTTTACATTAAAATCTGAATTAGAACTCATGAAAAACGGATAAATTCAGCTGTAAAAATTAGATTATTTTTAAAAATTTGTGTTGTAAAAAAACAGCAGATACTTTTAGCAGATAAAAACTGAGATCCTATCTCAATGCCACTGAAGCTATCGACTTAATGTTTTTAAATAATTAGTAAAACAGAATTTGTAAAGAGAAAAAAAGAGAAATAGATCCAACAGTAACCATGTCTGCTCCAGTGCAGATTGTCAGTAGAAATGCTTTGAGTATTGTCTTTGGTACATGGGCCATAACATGATCAACAGGGGCCCCAATTTGCCCCTGTCTAGAACCGTGACTATGCTTACTCTTATTTAGTTATTTCAGGGTTTATACAGGAATGAGTAACTGTAATTCAATGCTTTTTAATGCTCTTAGACATTA